ACGAACTTGAATTAACGTAACATGAAACCTATTAGTCCGAAAGTACCATGCAGAGCAACAAAAGTCCACAGACCACCTAATTGACAACAACGAGTAAAATCTTATTGTGCTTCAGGACCCCACAGTAACAATAAAGAATGCGCTAAACTATTAGCAGGAGTAGAAACTGTAGCTGTTAAGAAATTATAGCTTTCCAAATAAGAACTAGCCAATCTATAGGTATACCATGAAGTTACAAAGGTTGTACTTGTGAACCAACCTCCTCGAGCAAATTAGGCACAAGAAAAGAGTAATAGACTGGACCAGCCTACAAAAACGAAATGGTTATAGTCATCCATAATATCAAATAAATCATTTTCGTCCTTGGTAAATTTACCAAGGGCTATAGTCATAATGATCCTCATATTCAACTACTTCGATCATTTTCGAGCACCTCACAGTATTTTCGGGGCGTTTGAAGATTCGATTATTTCTCTATGATTTCTCTTGCACTGCCCCTTCTAACGGGTTTCGAAGATAAAAATTCTTTATTGGATTGGCTCATAAACTGACCTAGGGAAATCCATGAACTCAATTTGATTATTATTTCTTTCTAAGAATATGAACCATGACTTGTCTTCTTATGATTGATCTCTTTACCAAATATATGCAGATCTAATCACGATCCTATAATAAGAACAAGAGATCTTTCTAGATCAATCCCTTTTTCCATTTTTGTTATGCTATTAATACTTGTACTTGCTCTATTATTATGCCCAAGCCTGGTTGAGGAAGACGTTTTTTTCTGTTTCTTATCAATGAATAGATCTCATTACTTGTATAACTTAGATGTCTGTATCTTTATTATCATCCAATTAACCAATTCTTTAAAAGATCTATCAGACAATGGAGTGAAAGATTTGACAAATATGAATCATGTCCACTAGGCACAACAACAAAATCTCATTTTACTTGAAAAGGTGAAAATCTGCACAATTACTAGGTCTAATATAGAGTGATGTGTGTGGGCCCATATCAATTAATGCTATATGAGGTTTCTCTTATTTCATCACATTTACTATTGACCATTTCAGAAATTGCCATATACACTTAATGAAATTCAAGCATGAAACTCTTAAAAGATTCGAAGGATTTAAGTTAGAAGTGAAGAAATAATTAGGTAAAGATATTCTCGAGGTGGAGATATTTTAAAAATGAAATTTTAGATTATCTAAACAGAATGGAAATCTCTTCAATGGACTCCTCTACATACACTACAATATAATGGTGTATCTAAAATGAGGAATCATATACTATTAGATATAGTCCAATTAATCACAAGTCATGTAAACTTTTGAAAATTGTTTTGGTGTCATGAATTGATTGCAGCATACTACTCACTAAATCATGTCCCATCTAAGTCGGTTAACAAAAACTCCATACGAGCTATGGAAATGCAGTAGTCCCAATTTATCTCATATAAAAGTTTGGGACAGTAATGCTTATTTGAACCGCATTGAATCAGATAAACTTAAGTTTATATTCGATAAATACATATTTATGGGATATTCAAAATATATATTTAGATATCAATTCTATACTCATTGAGAAGAAAGTCTTCGTCTCACGACATGCAGCCTTCCTAGAGAACGAGTTTATTTCAAGAGAGGATAGTATGTGTAAAATAGAATTTGAAGGAGTCCAAGGGTCCACAGATATAGTTGACCAAGTAGATGAATTTGAGTTTGATCCCATATTTGCTGATGGACATAATCTTGATGAGGACGTAGAGAATTCTAGGGACACGTCAGCTCAGTGTAAATTTGGTAGGATCATTTGACCTTCAAAAAGGTGCGAATCCATGATTACTAATCAGGCATTACTAATCGAGGATGATGAACCTACTAATTGCACAAAAACAAAGACAAGTGTTTACTTAAAGAGAAGGCAATAGACCATGGAATTCGAGATGAACTCAATGTATGTTAACAAGGTTTAGACCTTGATCGACCAACCTGGTGAAATAGAACCTATAGGTTATAAATGGATTTACATGAAAAGGTGGACATGGATGTTTCCATCCATCCATACAAAATGGGGCTAATAGCATAAGGTTACAAACAAAGATAAGAAGTTGGCTTTAATGAACATTCTAGCATATAGCCATGCTAAAGTTCATTTGAATTTTGTTTGCAATAGCTATATACTATGACTATGAGTTATGGCAAAAGGATGTCAAAATTGTATTCCTTAATAGGAACTTGCAAGAGAGAGTGTACACGACACGATTCGAAAGTTTTGAATCAAACTATGCTTACAAAGTCTGCAATCTTAATCAATTCTTATATGGATTGAAGCAAGCCTCTTGGAGCTGAAATTTTCGATCTAATGAAAAAGTCAAAAATGTTTTATTTTATAAAAAATGAAGAAGATCCGTGTGTCTACGAGAAGATAGTAGGAACATTGTTGTATTTCTAATATTATATGTAGATAACATATTAATAGAAAGTGGCATTGCTATGGTTCAATTGTTGAAATCATGGTTGTCAAATAATATTTCCATGAAAGATATGGGAGAAACAATTTGATCTATAGAGATAGATCTATAAGATTGTTTAACTCATCACAATCTACATAGATAAAATCTTAAGAAGATTTCGTATGAAGAGAATGAACTGAGAGTTCGTGGATATACTGATGCTAACTTCTAGTCAGACTAGAAGATGACAAGTCTCAATCTGGAAATGTTTACTCTTAATTATAGAGCTGTGAGTTGGAAAAGTTCCAAACATGAAACAACCGTTATTTAATAGCAAAAGCCTAATACACCATTGTTTCAGAAGCAGCAAAGAGTTGCGATTTGGGACAAGAAGTTCATTAATGAACTAAGAGTAGTTCCTAACCTTGTTAATCACATACATTTGCATTGTTATAGTAATAGAGTCATCATGCAAATGAAGGAATTAAGGTCACATCAATGGTCTAAACATTTCTTAAGGTGGTATCATCTTATCAGAGAGATAATACAATGAAATGACGTAAAGAAAGAATGATTTTCACAGTTAAAAATATTGCAGATCCATTAACAAAGTTGTCATAGTATAAACATGATTGTCATATAAACTCTTATGATATTAGCTACATAAATGTCTGGATCTAGTGCAAGTGTTATGCCTTAAGTTTAATCAACTTTGAGCATATATATATATATACTATTTGATTAATATTCAATTAAATTAAATAATAGAGTCTGTATATTTAAATCCTAATAATTTGTTATTCACAAAAAGTTGTGATTGTGAGATACAAATTACATATGACTAAATCTTAAGTCATCTTTGGTCGTAAGTAATAATGATATACGGATATCGTATTACAGATAGACAATCACGTGTAGCATTTCTTACTGGTGAAGTAGCTGATTTCACAAGTTAAAGTGTGATAACATTTAAATAAACACGTGAATGTTTTGTTAAAAAACAAAACATTGGAGATCTATTGAGGAGATTCCACATGGACAACTCTCTGAGTGTCAGTTATAAATCTTTAACGTTCGATAGTAAAATTAATTATTCGACTTGAGATCATTATAGTACCTTATATGATGACAATCATACTTTGGTAATGTTGAATATTACTCTGCCAAAGGCCGCTAATACGACATCCTTCGAGTATGTCAAGAATCATATTAAGGTTGTGGATGATCAATAAATGATTTATCACTCTTAGATAGTAAGGAATTATGATTTACGTTTTTATTAAGTTATATTGATAAGGAAATCCTGACCAAGGTGTATTCATAAGTCGAAAATGAATTTTCGACTTATATTAACTTAACATAATAGTGGAATGAAACATATAATCGATAATTGAAATTTACACATCCATATCTCATAATTGATCGGATCATATTAACGAAAGGATCATAGTTTCGTAGTATACGAAAGAGTTTGATTTTGTCATATCAAGTGACATTTTTCATCACATCTATTGTCCTGATATACTACTAGATGTCAATTTGGTACAACGAATGTAAATTGGCGATAAATTAGAAAAGGGTACTTTAATTTTTCGATTTTGATTAGATCAAAATAATAATTCGCATTGTTAGGCATTGTAATTGAGAACCTAACAGGTCACACACAAAATGAGAACTAGAAAAATTAGATATACCAATTAATTAATTGATTAGATTGTTACCACCCAAATTAGTTAATTGAATTAATTAATTCATGGATCAAATTTAATAAATTGGATTAATTAAATATTGGATTGAATCAAGTTTAAAAGATAGGCCAAGTACATTTGGACTTATATTAATAGACCGCTAAAGTTTGAAAAATCAAGAGAGAACATAATTATTCTTACTAGTACAAGAAAAGTAAAAAACCTTAATTCTCTCGATCGTGTTCCTTATGTAGATTTTCATAGGAGTCTGGACAATTGAACAACTGTGAATTATAAATCGTGATGACACCTATTTCAAAATTAGCAAAAGAGTTTGCAGGATTTATCAAAAGTATTATTCTAAACACAATTTTTATCTAAACACAAAGAAGACTCTTGATGGAAATTAAAATCTGTTTTATTTTTCACTGTACATGATTAAGTAAATTCTCAACTAGTACACTAATCACATAATTGGTATATTGAATAGAATTAAAGTAAGACCAGTAAGTGAATTTATTGATCACCTTAAGTCTAGCATACCAAACATGTTACATTTGTATTTGTCTTAGGCAATGTACAATATTATGTGCAACATAAATGAAAACACACAAATTTTATTAATGCAGTTCGTTCATTTTGAGGTATTGCTGTTTGTCACATAGGTAGGCTGCAGAAAATACTCTTGTTCAATTCACTTCACTAAAAAGAGAAGGAAATATAGATTCAAACATGTTCACGTCGTGGAAGGCAAGATTCAAGCATGTTCGCGTTGTGGAAGGCAGCCTTTAACGCTTCCATCAACCACGATGTACAAGTATACATGTATCATGTATGGAAAATGGAAAGGGGCAAGAGTAACTTGATTAATCACCACGATTCATCTAAAACCTGAGAATTTTGTTCATTAAAACGATACAGAAACATTCATAATCATCTGTCTATGCTTTCTCCGAATTAACTGCAACCTGCAAAAGCATTTATTGTGCTATTCCTTGCTAGTTCTTATTGACAACATGGTTCGGAAACCCAAGAAAAAAATGCATCATTAGACAGGAGGGACGTATAAAAATAGGTAGGTTAGTTTCTAACTTATCGCTCCACAGAAGAGGATAGCAGCATTAACACTGTCGTTTCTCTCTTCTTCTGCCTACAAAAATCACATGCTGCAAATAATGAACGTTGAAGTGCCATTCACCTCAGTCTGATATTCTAATCTCGACCCCCAGGATGTCCTTCACTTGTTCATATGTCACGAAAGCAATAGCGATTGATGGAACGACCTGAACAGAAAGTTGTAGGATTAAATTATACAAGTCAATCTACACAAGGAACATTTGCTTCAATATTCAGTCAACATGTAACTCGTAATTTTTTCCCTGAAAATGTCAGACTAATTAACCAGATATAGATTTGTTAACATACGGTCTGAACCCTAAGTGCATGTTTGACACAGTATTAAACCTTACTCAAACACAATTTTATCTTCATTTTCTATTTTCTTGGTACTATTAAATACTATCCAATCCACTGTGCCATACAAACCATAAAAGCTACCCTAGAAACAGCAGAATGGGTTTGTTATTTAACAATTCCAATTGCAAGTGAACCCATTTCTTTATGGGCTTTCAGTAGAACTTTTCACTATGTCAAGAGTTCCGAAAGACAAAAAATTAGTCTCAAGCTCTCCATCAAAACACACAACTCACTGGCCAAAATGATTTCACCCTTCAAAAAAGTATTCTACAGTTAGCTCAAATTCAAAATTTTGTCTGCAAAAGAGCAGTCCATTTCTGATTCTTTTTTCTTTTTTTCTGTATATGTTTTCGATTGTTTTCCTATTATATTTAACTAAATAGGTTATCATTAGATGTGGTCAGGGCTTTATTAAACCTCAATTTGATATTTTCGAAACAATATAAAGTAGTTCTTCCATGCCACAAGCATTTATTAAAGTTCCAGGCTGAGTGGCAATATTTGCTCTAAACAAAAACTAGTAGAAAATACCATAATACGAGACTAACCTTCACTGAATTGGGGACCAAACCCTTATACAATGCTCTGAAGCCCTCGTACCTAACAGTTTTCCTGAAAGCATCAATCATGCCAGTATATTCAAGGGAGGCCTTGTTTCTCCCATCACCAGTGACAACTGAAGCAGCATTACTCCATCCCACCATCTGCATTCTTCTACGGATAACATCAAGAGGGTATGCAACAGTTTGTCCAACAGTACCTGCTGCAGCACCACATGCAAGTCTTGTTACCACGCCCAATTCATTGTTTTCAGCAAGCCCAAACTGATTAGATTTAATTAACCAATCTTTTAGAGATTCATACACAGCAAAGTTGAGACCCACGTATGGAACCTGCGAATAGTTAAAAGAGTGTGATTATCACAACAAGATTGGACAGTATAGAAACTCCGATACAAAAGATCCTATATAGGTGGAATAATTATGTGATTTTGCTGGGACAATCTTCCCATTGAAAAATTGTTTGGGTTTTAGAAGGAAAAATCTAATGAAAAAGTGATAAATCTTACTGAAGTCATAACAGAAATTTTAATTAGGTGTTCAAGTTGGTCCTAAACGGCAAGAATAAATATTGTACGAATTGTCAACCAACCAAGAGATTGAACTTGACATGAATCTCTACAATACAATTCCACAAAAGTACTTCATTAAATGAACCAAGATTCAAAAAAAAAGCCGAAATAGTTTCAACTATTGAGAGATTCATCATTTCAGGTCTATGGAAAAAAGTTAAAGCCTTAACATTGAGACTACACCCATACATAGTGCTGATGCCCACTTTACCCCTTTGCCCTCTTTCTCAGTTGTTGGATTAGTAGTTGAGAAAATAAATTTTAATAATTAAAGAGACTGAAGTCTGAGTCAAATTGATAATATAACTAAGGGCGTTTTAGTATGTGCTATCAAAAAGCTTCACAGGATTTCGTCTGGTGTTGTAATCACCCATGTAATGCAAGAAATGTCAGCTTGGAATGTGACTTCTCGTGTGTTTGGGTTGGGCTTATAGTAGAATGTGTTGCGGATAAGACTTGCAATGATGATGGTTCCTTGTTCTTAATAAGTGACATTGACCAAACAAAAAGAATGCAAAAAGAATTAACTATGACTGGCAGAACAATTTTCATACTGTAAATCAATACAAGTAATTTCCCATTGAATGATAGCCAAGTGCTCATAACTCATAAAAAAAAAGTAACTCAAGCACAATCAAAAGTTTTCTTCCTAGTCTTCTTGGGAATCCTATGCTATGGATTTAACCATGGTTAATTCCATCAAGTTATGTAAGTTGACTGAAGCAAAAATGTTGTAGACTTGTCATGGCTATTACTGGTATCAGTTCTATAGCTATAATAGTTCCAGAACTTACAACTCCAATGACAGAAGGAAGCCAACCCTTGTACAGAGCACGAAAACCTTCCTCACGAAGCACAGTTGACAAAGCATGAAATATTCCTCTATACTGATAGGGAGATTTGTCTGTCTGCAACACGAGAAAAGGAATGTGCATTATGATCTAGAATACACTACAGAAACTGTTTATTCTCAGAGAAAGCCAACAAGATTTCTAAAAAAGATCTTTAAGATGACTCTTAATACCTGCACAGTTAGTCTACCTCGAACCATATCCATCGGGTATGTTGCAGACATAGCAATTATTCCAGCACAAGCTCCAGCTCCCAGACGTAATAAAGGAGTCAACTGAGCATCCTCTGCGGAAGAAAACACATGGATGCAACAATTCAAATGGCATGACCCTCACCTATCTGCTCGAATCGTATACATATATAACTACTAACAAGTTGAGAAAACAAAAGCCTAAACTATTAGATTAGATAATGCAGGCTATAAGAATAATCAATGATGAAAACAAATCAACCATTAAAGCAACTCTTTGCAAAAAATAACTTCATTAAGCTGGTCCCATATTAATAGTGACAAATTTATTCTTTTTATCTCAGCATATCTAACCTCGAAGAAAAATGTGGTCATCAAACTGGTTGCTGAGTTCAGGTAAATACTGCAATACTAGAACTATTCAACCAGAATCTGGAGAACAAATAAACATTTTCCTTTTAGAATAGTCTGGATTATCAGATCATCTAGATCGCCTCATTAATTGCATGTCTCATAATTAAAACCATCAATGTTCAGGGCAGATAATTGAGGTTTGTCAAAGCTTCCATACAAAAATTAACCAACAAAAATTTGACACGTATAAAATTGAAATGCACAAAAAATGACACAGACTACACCCATGTTGTCCTTTCAATCTGGCCATTGGAAGGATTCACAAGTATTTAAACGCCTCCCATCTGATGAAGGCAACCTGTGTGACCACTCAAACCCATATTCTTAAGCTTGAAGTCAAAATGTTTACAATGACAACCAACATCCCTATGTGTAAGATTAAGAAACAGAAATTGTAGAAAATATAAGGAAAATGAGGAGACACAAATAAAGCCTGCTATTTATGGATATTTTCCATTCAGTAGAAAAGTGGTTTTCGATTGATCTTCCTAATACTAGATTACTGGCAAGAAATTTGACTCGCAAAAAAGGGGTTTCATATATTCCACGGTCACCTAGCTATGCAACCAAATGTCACAAGATCAGCTTTAATTAATGAGTTGAAACATCAATTTATGATATACTTATTTGGATAAAAATCTCCTACAGCTAGCTAAATGCTGGTTTTCCTGTTATTTTCACAAATCCTTTTTCCTGGGTAATTTTGATTCTTCGAGTCATTATGCTAGAATTAGATCAGTATCATGAAAATGAGAAAAAATTAAGCGCCATCACCAACATTATTAGCAGGTCTGATTCCAGCATTGAATAGATTGGCAGATAAGAAAGTGTTTATCAGCAATCGAAATTATATAAAGTGGGAATACAAAACGAAAAATCTACAGATTAATGGTTTTTTTTTTTTCCCCTTTTTTTTAACCTTCCCTAGCAGAAAAGATGTTGCTGGCCCACAGATACAGAATGTAAATAAAATTAGTAACAAAGATGTTAAAACTTTAAAGGGAAGGATCTTTCACTCAACAAATTAAGCAGCAGTGGAATTTAGGGCACAAGTGTGTGAAGAATGACAAAGACGCACCATTGCCAGTTTGTTGCTGATACACATATAAAATACCCCTGTTGCGACATGAAATAAAAAGTCAATTAGGAAAAGGTACCAAAAAGAACAATAAAAAGATTTACATTTCTCGTGCCAAATAAATATCAAAAGCCCTTAAAAATTCTAACTAAGAACAGAGAAAATATAACCCTGTTGCTAGTTCATTCGTACGTCGATGCCATGAGATATGTCACAAGTAATGTATAGATAATGGAGCAAATACACTCAAAGTTGCCAGGGGGCTTAAAAGAATATACAAACAAAAGAAATAAACAAAATTAAATAGATTCTTTGATTAGTAAGACCATACTTGGAGGCTTGCTCATAGCTGAAGAACTTTACAGCAGAATTTGGAACTATTCGAGCACAATTGGTGCCATTGCCTTTAAACAACCCTCTAAAGCCCTCAGTTCTCCAGATATATTTCAAGCCTTGAATAGTACCATTGTATTTTATGTTATGCGGATTTTGAACCTGTATGTTGGAAGGGCATCATATAGCCATGAAATACCAAAAATGGGGAGTGAGTAGTTCGTAGCAAATATATCATAAAAAATGATGTTCTCATCAAATAATAGCAGCCAATTTTTTTGAGTTCACAGCTCTGCTTATACATTGTGAATATAATACAGATAAAGCAGGGGAACCAAAAAGCTACGAGGGAATAAAGTAAGTTAACCTGTAGCAATATTTTTAGTCGTTCCAGTGGAGCTACTGCAGTTCTGGACCTGCAAATAGACATTTTGTAAGGAAGTCATGTCCATATCGTATTACGAATCAAAAGACAAGCTACTAAAATTCCAAGCCAAACAATATATTCCATGTTCCATTCACTTATCCCGGACAAAAAGGTTACTTTCGTAATTGATAAAAAAGATTGGTTCAGCTACACATTTTTTTCCCAACTTAAACATTCTCTGTCATAAAGAAAAAAAATATGGTGCTCCATCATACATGACACAAACATTTCTTTTGTATTTTCACCACAATTTAATTCAAATATTTCACATTTTTCTCCCCTTTCACAAATTGTTGTGAAAGTGTGAGTATAACATTCTAGATAAAAGAAAAATCAGGTCAGTTGCTAATTTATCCCGAATTCAACCCCTGAACAAAATCCAATTTTTATAGAGATGTAATACAATTCTTATCCTGAAAAAAAATGCTAAAATACTTTCCCAAATGCATGCATACATGCATACAGTAATAATTATACATAGAATATATGTGCAATTAGAAATCTGAGGCATTCAGAAACACAAGCTGCATCAAATTTTTATTTTCGTTTTCATAACCAATTAAATCAATGACGCTTCTACTAAACTTCATCAAGAAATGATCCAATGATAACAAGAAAAACTAACGAAAAGTAATACTCACGCACAAAGGCGCTTAAAATATTAGTAGGAAAAATGAAAACTTACACGCCTCCGGCTATTCCACCAGCAACGAGAGACTTGCAGATACTGTAGACTTGGTATTTAGTAGGCTTGATTTCTTCTTTAGCAAGCTTCGCCTCCTCAGCAAGGTTAACAATCTTTGACACGGCCGATTCGCTCGTCTTGACATCCTCCGAAGCCATTAAAATTACCCCCCAAATACTAAAAAAAAATTAATTAAAAATAAATTACTAGAGAAAACCCTAAGTCGACGATCAAATCGGCGTTTGGGACGATTAGTTTAAGATGTTTGCATTCAGCACCGCCTCCGTTCGCGGTGGTCGGAGATGGCGGCTACAGCGGGGAGAGAGTTGAATTACTGCAGTCAGTGAAGAGTGTTAGTGCGTGTTTTCTGAGTTAACGGCGTTTATGCAAAAGAGGAATTTTTTTCACAAACTCTCATGCGTGGGAGTGAGCAGGATTCTCTGTTAAAAAAATAAAATAAATAAATAAAGAGGAAATTTTATAAAATGTCCATTTTTATCTAGTCATTTATAAAAATGTCCAATTTGAAAAAATTTAGATCAAAATACCCTTATTAACAATTTTTAATTCTACACTAAGACAAAAAAATGGACATTTTTGCAAAATTGTTATTGACGAATAAAATTTTGACACATAACCCGCCATATTTATTTCAAAAGTATACATGTCAAATCACAATAAATGCTATATTTTTCGTTGACTCAAAAATGTCGAGAACGACATTTTCAAATGTAAAGAAATGTCATATTCAAAATAAAATGTCATTCTAGACAAATGAAATGATATTCAAATGTCGAGAATGACATATGTAATGTCGAGAATGTTTCCGTGTGTCTCCGTGTCACGGAGACGTGATTTTTTCTTTTTTTTTTATTTAATAAAACGGTATTCAAATGTCGAGAATCACATATGTAATGTCGAGAATGTCTCCGTGACATGGAGGTAAATGTCGAGAATGTCTCCGTAACATGGAGACGTGATTTTTTTTTTTTTAATGAAACAGTGTTCAAATGTCGAGAATAATATATATAATGTCGAGAATGTCTCCGTGACACGGAGGCAACGTGATTTTTTTGTTTTTTTTTTAAGTATCATATTTTTTGTTTTCACGTTATTTTTTTAAAGTATTATATTTTCTTTTTTTCTTTTTTGTCGTCCGAACTTATTTTAATGTAACTTCTCATGGAAGTCACTTCTCAAAATTCGTGACAAATTGATAAAAAAATCAAATGTCGAGAACGACATTTAAAATGTCGAAAATATCATTTCAAAATGTAGTTTTTCACTAAGGGTATAATAGACAAATTGACATTAAATTCAAATGAGTGGACATTTTTCAACTCATAAAATTAGACATTCTTGAAAATGCCTCATAAATAAATAAATAAATTTCCAACCTTGAAGCCCCCACCACCATCCCTCGCTGGAACATAGTGAGGAAAGTAAATTGCAGGATGTGTCCTAACAGATCAAAGAACAAAAACTTGTCCGTATATTTGTGCCTATATAAACTCTAATTTCATATCTCAAGAATCGAACCCTCACACAGCGACTGCCAATAAGGTTGAGATTACTTTACTCCTGTTCTCGAGGTCCAACTTTATAGTATAATAGATGGGACCATTTTCATTTTTCAACATTATCAAAATCAATTAATCCTAAAATTTTCAAAATCGTTTTCTTGATTTGACCTAAACTAATGGGAGAATCACAATCAAGGTACCAAATCTTTTTATTTTGGAGCATACTTGATTCACACCTTTTATTTGTGCCATGAGCCATCCAAGATATCGAACGTTTAAAAAAATTCCTAGGTGAAGTCCAAAATGATGGAAATGAAAAATTTTATAATTTTGACCGAATAAAGTAAAGACATTTTGGACATAATATATTTTTTCTATTAAATCAAAAAATAAAAAATAAAAAAACACAACCACCCACCCCTATCTCATTATTCCCCAATCCTTCATCCTAA